TACTAGCATATATTTGTAGGTTCCGGTGAAGAAATTCTATTTCTTTTCTATTATTTCTTCAAATTTAATTATAAAGTACTCCTAGTGTAAATTTTAGCGGGCCAACGCAATTGAAAAAAAAAACAAATCGCGGAATTTGTCCTAAAAAAAGACCGTCGGGCAACCCTGAATTCCCAATTGATATTTTTATGTGGGGCAACGATTCAAGATTATTGAAGTACTTATATCATTAGTCGGCTTTAATTGCAAGTTCACTAAGGATTTAGAAGCCTGGTAAATGCCAAGTAAATTCACCACCATTTCATTGAAAAGAGATCCACCATATCTTCAATTTACATGAATTTTAAATTCTTAACGATTATACAACAATCAAAGCATGCCAATGCCAGTTATTGAAGACATGTCCAGAGTGCAATATAATTTATTTAGATCAGTTTTCTTGTTAATAAATTTAACAAAAACGAAGCCTTTAATTCACATAGAAATTAACGAAAAAGACTTCGGGGATCAGCTAATTCATTAGGCGCCTTCCAAGAAAAAAAATAAAAATCCTAACATGCGTGGAAATGACTACCAATCCTAGTCTCCGAAAACTCACGTTTAAGCTTCCATTAATTATCTACAATAATCTTCTTCTTGAAAAATAAGTCATCAGCAAAACATTTTGTACGCTGCTAAGACACAACTCTGGACAACAGCAAAATTTAGCCTTTTTGCAGGATATATTTCGAAAAAAAAAAATAATTTGGAACGTGAACCGAACCGTGGAGGGAAGCTGACAATTTAATTTAAGTTTAAATGATAGAATTTGTCGAGACCGGAGGTCCGTCGCAGCACATTCATTCGAAGCGTTATCTCGTTGCTGCTAATTACGCAAATGAATGTAAGAGTTGCCTAGCCGAGCCACGCGTCTTGCTTTTCCTGTTTCCCATCAAACTAAACTTTCGAATTGAAATTCGCTTGTTCAAATCAGTTTTATTTTATTTTAACCTCGCCAAAGCAGATCAAAACAATCTCAATTAAAGAATATTTAAAATCATGTCGCGAAGAATATTTTTTAAAATTATAATGTTCATTTTTGTTCTGTCTTGAACATATGGAAAATTTAATAGCAGAGAAGTGAGTTAATTAATCATTTCACGATGAAAATGAAGCGACATAAGAGAAGTAATTTGTACTATTCCCTAAATCTGGTGGATGATGAGTCAATGTCATATTAATTTTTCCCTGAAAAATTCTGAACTTTCGAAATAATTCTAGTTTCAGAATTAAAAAAAATAAGAAAAGGCTATAAATAAAGTTACTCTAAATATTGTGATTTTTATTGTAACTTTGCTCATGACAAAGAAGGTCTCCTGATTGAAGGCATTACGACGTCGCTTACGTTAGGAATTTCCGATAACTTTTAACGAAAGCTAGGAAAGTCATAGAATTAAGTTTATTTTAAATTATTTGTAACATTTAGACAAATATTTTAATGAATAATTTCCCAACTTTTCTTCATTAATTTGCTTTGAACATTCCATTTACTTCAATGTCGTGCATTTGGCGGTAAAAAGGAACTTATTAATTATCTATTAAGTTTTTAAAGCGTACATGAGACGCTGTTTGACAACACATGCAGTTGAAAAGATCTAGACAAAGAATATAGCAAAACGTGTAATTTTTTAATTGTGAACGAAATGCTATTATTACTCTTCGCTACAATTTGACTGTTGAATTTCACGTATGGTATGTTATAAAACTGTTTTCATCCACTCTTTTGAGAAAAATTGAACATTTAAAATTATAAATACCTTCAATTTTCAGTTAGATTATTATTTAAATAGAGGAAAATCTTTCTCGACGTGGATGCATTTGACCCATTTTTGAACCTAAATATGAATTATAGTTGGAGGTTGAGGATTTTTTTTTTATTCAAAAAGAAACTGTAGAATTTTATTTATATTCCTCTGAGTAATTCCGAAGCTTGCCAGTCTAAAATTTGTGGCTTCAAACCGAGGCTCGTTTTTAACAGACGTCTTCAACGTGACGAGAGAACCAACTGCCGAATACTATATGAAAAAATAAGACTTATTTGAACTATTGAAAATATATCCAAATTGAATACTGCGATATTTTCAGATTTTTTTACTCTTTGACCGTAAAACATAAATAAGAAACTGTAATTTAACGCCTGAATTAATTGCCTTTAAAGCATGAACGTAAACATAATGAGACCAGAACCTAAGGAATAACCATCGGGAGTTCAGTCATTGATGATCAAAGAAGAATGGTAGGAAATTCCCAGGGAAGGAACAATATGTAAAACATAAATGTTATTTATTGTTCGCTCATCCGTATGAAAAATTCCAGAAGATGTTCTTTTTAAATCAACCTATAATTTACACTGAAATGAAAGGTAAATTCTTCTATGGTATTTTCTATGGAAATAATTCTTTTTTTATTTCTTTATAAATTCTTCTATGGAAAGGTAAATTCTTCTACTATGTTCAAGAAAATTTGTATTCCTGCAGGGTGTTCACGGGAATGTCTTTCATGATAACTAAAAAATTCGGTAACGATGGACTTTTTAAGATTGAGTACTCGACGCTCCATCTTTTTCGTAAAATTTTGGTCAGATATAGTTTTATTATTTAATATAAAACAGTACAAATATACAGGTGCGAAAATTGAGTCTGATTATTTTTGACGGAAATTTATGACTTGATAAGTAACGAGTTATAATGTAACACGAAACTACATAATGATGCGATGATTTACTTAATTTATGAATAAAAAATTAATTTTGCACACAAAATTTACCGAATATAACGAAACAGGCAATGGTTCAAACCAATTTGTTACGAATTACCTATCACAATACTCAAATTTAATTCAACGGGAATAATAATCAATTGACTAAGCAATATACCATGTGAAAATTCTTTGCTAATTATCTGGCTTGTTTAAGGTCACAAGCTGACAGATTTTTCGACCTTATTATGGTCAAGGAACTGAAGGTATTCGGCCTTGTTAAATTATGCGCTGTTGTACAATAAATTATTTTAATTCATCGCACGCATGGCTGCTCTCTCCCTAGTTCAAGTCATGACTCGGTTAGTTTTGTGGAAGCTTCTCCTCATTACACTCGCTCAAGGCCTCTCAGCATTTGTCTTTTATTCGTGACCACGAAGATTCATTAGGGAAACTGAGATCAAAAACATGAAAGAAGTCGAAAGGCACCATAAGGGATCAGTAATGGACTTTCATGCAAAATCTCATAATTTAAACCAGAGTTGTTTAATTGGTGTCCCAGATGTTTAATTGGTGTTATATACCTGTAATTGGTGTCTCATATTTTACGTATCATTCTAATGTATAACAAACAATCGCATAAATATCTAAATAGCAGGCCCGATAACCCCTGCAATTTTAGAATTCAGTTTTTACAAATCACTTTAGTAATAAGAAATCTACACAGAGAGAAATGGGTGGGTCTGGATGACCCACTTAGACGAGCTAATTTTATTTAAATATCGATGCACTTTTTTGACTCACTTGCCCGAGTTGTGAGTCATACTTACCTTTTAAATTTCAAGTATGAATCACTTGAGGCCTCAAATCGCTTGTGACGCCACCCGTAGCATGGATACGTAGGGAGCATCTGGACGTCAGAGCGATTTAACTCCACTATTCCTGAAATTTTAAGGGCCAATAATAGGTCAGTATGACCCATAAATAGAGTAAGTGCCGGCCTTTTATTGCCGGCAGATCCTGCACCACTAACTTATTATCTACGTTGAACGATTGGACTTTTCTCGCTTCGAATCACCGACATGTAGAACAGCCTCCCCGATGACATCGTTGGCGCTCCAAGTATGAACGCGTTCAAGAACAGACTAGATAAAGCTATGGAAAGATATATTTCCAGATTTTAAATGCCTAGCACCTGATCGAACTCGGTGGAAGTCTAGTAGCTACTTCAAACAAACGTCAGTCATGAAAAGATCCGGTCAAATGACACGATTTTAGATCTTCTGTGAACAAGGCACGAAAAGTAAAAGAATCGGCGACAGGCCACATCAGGCCAACACTTCAGCGCCGACATCACTATGTTAATGTTATGTTATGTGAGTCGAAAAAATGCGTCGCTATTTGGACGCGGTTTACTCGTCAAAGTGGGTCATCCACACCCATCCGTTTCTCTCAGTATATGTTAATTAAAAGAATGCCCATTCAAGCCTGCATTTTCCTATAACATATATTTCGCATCTGGGTCGTATTTCAAAATATTAAAAAAATACATCAAATTTATACTAATATACTCAAATTCATACTTTAATTAACATTTATGCGTACAATTTAAGAATAAAATTTAAATATTTCATCCCTCCATCCCAGTTTTTCAATGCCGTTATATTCTCCCAATAAGAAGTTCAGGTTCAGGTAATATCGCGACACGATAAACCTCGTGGATTCGTGCTCGAACAGCCCCTATACTGTATATTTGCACCGCCATGAAGGCTTTAACAGCCCCTATATATTTGCACCGCCATGCAGGCTTCAAACGCATTCAAACACCCACAAACTTTGACAAATATCGATAAAATTACAGTATGATGCAGTAATTTTTTTTCGTCAAAATAAAAAATTTCGCCAGTGCATACGCATTCCGTATGCACTGGAATCGGTCTCAAATATTTTCACATGAGAAATTAATGAAAAATTACTGCGAACGGTCCTTCGGTTTTACTTCATTGTGAGACAATTTTTACATATAATAACATGAAGGAGTCAGGACTAGTTCTATTGCAGCTGGTTTGTGTTTAAGACGGAGGAAAATAGAAACTTTTCTAGAATAAAATAGTTTCGGTCGTCACCCCCACTTGACTTGACAACGAATTCAAGGACCCAATCAGAGTTGTGAAAAAAGTGTCATTTTCGCGGGGGTGGCTGAATGAACGGCGTGGGTATATAAGGTGGCGTGGCACTCCGTAGCGGTCCCTTTTCCACTGGCGCCTGCTACGGGAGGGTGTGTACCGCTTCTCTCCGCTGCCGTTCGCTTGCCATCTCCAAACAAATCTACAAGGAGCTGCTTGGTCTACATAAATTGAACTTTTCGAAAATATTTTTGTAAATTTGAAAAGAAATGACGGAATAGAGAACAAGATCGTTACTGATAGTTATATATCATCGGAGCACAGTTAACGGATATCACCAGTAGCAGAGACTTCAACAAATGAAAGTTTTCGGTGAGTAAATATTTGTTCACTATAGTTGATGTGTTGGGCCTATGAATTATAATTAATGCAGCAATATTTTGATGGATGTAAAAAAACTGATGCCGGTTGATGTTGAAAAATTCCAACTCATATTCCTTGTTTGACTTTCATACAAAAAACACACAGTATCGAAGTACGGCTTATTCATACGTCAACTGAAAGCCTCGCAATGAACTGCTATATTTCGACAGCATGACTTGTAAAATCTACGTTGAAAAATGCGAAATCGGTGAGTTTATGGAGCTGCCCTCAATAACTGCTTTGACTCCCTTTTAAACGCAATTACATGTCTATCAAGCTTTCCCATTTAGCTACGAGAGAAAAATGAATGAGTGAACAAGTTGTATTTAAAATATTTTTTGCCAGACACTGACGCATCGCCAACGCAAAGCTGCGTTCGCTAAGCGTCAGAACTTAGCAAACTGATGTTTTCAAACGATCAATGGGCACAATCGACACTTTGATGAAACGTTGAAACGGTTCTCGTGTGAACGAGTATTTATTTTTACTTCAGGATAAATATTCGAAGAGCTTTCCTTTTTTAAATAAAACATTCATTTGTTCATATTTTCGCAGAAATACGCTGTGAAAAAGCACTTGGAATAATTCGCAGAATACCGAATACGTACGAAAGCGCATAGCACATGCGTTCGTCATTTAGTGAACTTTGCCCTCACACCAGACCGTATTTTCTCTACACTAACTTTGTTACGGTTTCCAATTATCAGTATAATTTTTATTTTTAAACAACGAGCTTATTTATGTTGATACACATTTTCGATGAAACTTTTCTGGTAAAAAAATCCCTGGTAAAAAAATTTGGTTGGAGTTTGTTGCTCCACCCAAACAAAATTTTCTTTCCTTTTCAATTGTGTTTTCTTGATGTGTTTCCTGTATAAATTTGAAACCGTCTAAAATAAATACAAGGTTGGGGAGCGTCGGACAACGGTCAACAAAAATAAACAGCTGTCACGTCGCGCTATTGTCCTACATTCGCTTCATTGCAGTCATTCAAAAAAGCAAACTAAGAGCGGCCAGTAAGTCTATATGAGAAATAATTATTAGCGATAACTTCTGTTTGGAAATATTCGGGAAGAATGGTGTTCTATTCGAGCATCTGCAATTATTGTTCAACGACGAATAATTCTGAATGCAAATATTTTTTTCTGATTTACGTGGTCATGGCTATGAAATTGACTACAATTATGTATAGAGGTTATTAAAGAAACATTTTTTAAACATTTGTTGGCTTGAAATTCAAAGTATTTTTTGCCAAAAATCTGATATTATCCGACTATCATAATTTGAAAAAAATACATCGTTAAGATGAGGTACGCCATATAATCTTGTAAAAATTAATCTTGATAACATGTGGTTTGTCCGGCATCTCCTAAGAATTATGAAGTGTTATTTGGTTGCCCGTCCAACAACCTTTCTTTGGACGCGATGCATAACTGAGGCCTCTTTACGTTTTAATTTTCAAGTGGCTTTTGATGGCGTGGGTGTGAGATTGGCTCGCTGGAGCCGGCGCAACGCCGTTAAATTGAGCGGGGATCACAGGAAGAGCTCATTGCACGACGCACAATCAGACGTTTTTGCAGGAATTAGACGTCCTTGCGTTAAGATTTCTTTCGTGGAAAAGAATTTTGCGTGTGACGGGATAGAGTTGTGGTAGCCTTGAAGAGAATTAACTTGCTCGAGTAAAACTTCGTATATATGTACATGATTTGCGTTTCATGATGATTGTATAATTAAACGTGTATTCGATCATAAAAGAAATAAAGTTCGGGTCTTGATCGAAAAAAATCACTGCAATCGTTTGTGCAAAGAAAAAATTAGTCATTAATACTTGTGCTTTGATATTGGCTGTCGTTAATTAATACTGTTTCTACATGTGTTGGAAAGAGTGTGTAAACGTCGACTGCACAGTACGAAGTCAAGGCATTAGTCGGAAGAAATTTATAGAAGGTTTTGGTTATAAAAATGCTTATTTCCGTTCTCTTTACTCATGCTAATGCAGGAGTTGATTGTACTTACTCCAAGTACTTTGCTTGACATGGAGTTTAGCGAGAGTGACTGCAAGTTAAGGTTGCATTGAGAAAATGTTTTCCGGGCTTCCGAAACACTGAGCAGATTATTTTGCTTCGGCTTTAGCCAATATAACCTTTTGTTGGTAAAATTAACTAGAAATTTAGACACTGCAACAAAGGACGAATAGATAATGTTGGTACTTATTGAGATTGACTAGCAATTATATTAATGATCTCGTCAGCAAGGCTATGAGCGAGTGAGTTGATTGAAGAGTCTGGTTTGCAATTAGGGCTCATCACAAATGATTACTCAAATGTATCAAGCAAAACTAATGCAGCTTCATTTTTATTTTCTTCATGCCTAATATACAACGTCTTTTTTCTTAAAATAAAATGCTCGATATTTTTGGATTACATAACTATATTCTTGATGCATAGACGAATTTTTTTGATTTTATAACCAAGTAAAGAATGCCATAATAAAAGTTTTGGAAGGTATTGCTGTGTATACTGAATGTACAAACTGAAATACAGAAATATGTGCCGAGTTGGGGTTGATGCAAATTTCTTATCATTTACTACAATGGAAACAAAAAAAAATAATAAAAACACTATCACTCGTGAAGTCATGTTGAGTTCACTTGTGTTACGCGCCTAAACAATGCACATGATCTGTACCCTGTAAACTCGGCTCGGTTTTTATTTATAATGTGAGCGTGGAAATCGGTGATGAGTGTCCAGCTATGCTGAGAACACGCACACATTTGGGCACGCAGCCTTGCTTACATTTGTTCTTAAAACATGCGAGGGTATGTGGTGCTATTCGTGCGCGAGGGTTAGATGTGCTTTATTGGTCCCGAACACAAGACTTTACTGCAGGTTCAATGTACTTTAATGTGTTTTTAAAGAACGCTTTTACGTGACCATGTCTGAAAGGACATGCAATTTCAAGCCCCATTTTGAGATAACATTTATGGGTAAAAAATTTCTGTTTTATAATGAATCAGCAACATTGATGACTTTTGATTTCGTAAATCGATCCGGTAATTTAGGTAAACAGAACTACTGAAATTTTGAACGCGTGATCGCGCATAAGAAACTATGACAATACCACTGTTATGGGCATTTATTGTATGTGTTAACTCTCGCTTACGCAAGAATACTGTATATATGAGAACGTTCATGTCCTCGGCGAATGTCATGACGTTTTATTCATCATAACATTAAGCTCAAATCTTAATAATCGCCGTTCGTGTCGACACTTGACGCACTTCAATTGATTGTTTATGCACCTATACTCGACTGTGGGTAACCGAACTATGAATACTACCGTATTCTACTAATTCTCGACTAGTGTATGGGTAATATAACGTAAAACATATTATTTTAGTACTTGCATGTACATGTCAATACCTGCTTCCTTACTTATAAAGATACCAGGAAATTTCTAGAAAAAAAAATTATCTTAGGCAAAGTTTTAAGAATTCATTGGGCACTTTCAGACCTTATGTGATGCTTGACATGGAAGTTTATCAATGTAAAACCTCTATTCATAATTTATCGGTCACCAGCAGATCGAGTCGACACTGTTTCTAGGAATTGTCTTTTCAGTGGAATTTGGTTTGAATAGATTCCTACTTGCTCTACAAGTGGGTGGTGCCGCTACACGCAATAGCTCCTAGTTCTTCGAGGTAAAGGGTATTGCCCCAGGTTCAGTTTGCCGTCCATGACATGTAATCTTTCAGGGAATAATGCAACAAGCTTCAATAAAAAATATGATGTTTTTACCTTCCTAACATTGATATAAAAACTGAAAATTAGACGACTGGTTGATACGAATAATCCCCATGCGACGAAAATTTACAGAAAACTTTTAAATAGGCAGAAAGTAAAGCTTTTGAAGGCCGCTGCTAAATGAAGGAAGCAATGGATACACACGAAAAAAATCTAAGATGCTCTTAATAACTGCACAAAAAGTAACAATATATAGCCATAATCCAGTATGACTTATGGGACGCTGAGAACATTTGAGAAATCCATGACTCATATTCGTTTGCTGGTTTCTCTACGTAAAAATTATCCTAACGAATTCAAGGATGGAGTTGAACTCCATATAACCTGATCAACTTTGTTCGAACTTGAGGTGTTTCTGAGAAATACTGAGCTCGTCTAAAATAAAAGTAATTTTAAGTAGAGCAAACGGATGGAACTATCGACATATAAATTATTCTGGTAAACTCCTACGCCTCTCAACGTTATGTGCGCTCGTGTAATTAAATGATTTGCAGATTTGAATATTGAATGAAGTGCGACATCATAAAAATTTACATCAACACATTGAAAGTTGGGTGTTTATCTCGAAAATAACAAATGATTGAATGACTTATGACTCGATATATCACTTAATTTTAAAGGGTTGATCTCTATAGCCATCATAACAAAACTTTATGTTGCTGTTCAACAGTGCCCCTAAATTAAAAAAAAATATGAAGATGTTAAATTTATATATTTCGAACAAATAGAACATCTAATTCATTGGAAGTTCATTGAATTGCCTTGAATAAAGGCACTATTTTTGCACTTGCTATACACAATGAGTAACTAACGTCCATTCTCGTTTGACAAGAGAACCGAGCTTCCGTGTACAGTGCGATCCATAGTACTTTACAATTCTTTGTTGATTAATAATGCTCTTCGTGTGTGAGGGGCCGAACAGTGGGAGGGAGAGAGGGGAAGGCGAGAAGCATGAGTGATGTAGCTTGTAATGAATTAAAAATCAGGAGTAACGTAGCTTGTTAGCATAAATCGAGCAGCCTGCGTGTAATGTAGCTAGTTGTCTTGAATCGAGAGGCGGTATAACTGTAGCTCGATATCATAAATAGAGAAACGTAAAAAGAGGTAGCTTGTTATCATAAATCGAGAAATGTGAACAGATTAGCT